TATTTAATACTCTCTATTTTCAGTTTTTAGATAGCTAAACTCAACTAAAACAGGAAGTCTCTCACACTAGATGTTAAACTGCCACTTCTCTTGAAATTATAGCCTCTAATAAACAGCATGTTGTAATTATCACTTAGACTTTATTGTCATTGTGTACACATAGAGTGTATACAAAAAGAAATTTCAGTCAGCACAGCTCTCAAGACATTTTCATTTTTAAAGTGCAGCAGTGATTAAAAATAAAAAGTAAGCAGCAGTGATAAAATGTAAACATACGACTGTATGATTTACAGTTTCCAACATTCTGGTTTTTTTTTGTAGTGTTTTTTTATATAAACCACATTTTATAGCATTCAACAGTCTAATAGGAAAGAAACTGTTCTGGAATCGTGTCAAACATTTCAGAAAAAATTAAATAATAGGTCTCTTCTATGGAATTCCTGCAGTGCCTGTCTTTTTTCCTTAAATCTGGATATATGTTTGAAAAAAAAAGATATCTAATGATTAGGGAAACGTAGTTGCTTTATCTGTTATCAGAAGGGTTTGAATATATGAATTTCTGAAAAATGTTTGAAACTATTTAAAAAAAAACGTACATTGATTTCAGATATCGTTGGCGTGCCAAATCAAGAAAGTATATATTTCTGTCTAAATATATGATCGTTTTAGTTATTAATCTGACATGTTATTTGTTTTGAGTTTATATCCTCTTAGATCAGGGATTTAAAATGTATGTTTTGCAAAAGGAGGAATGATCACTTAGTAACACATAGATGTATGGATAATAGTGAATCTATTGGCAACATTTTTATTTTTATGGACATTTGTTTGTCAGGCTCATCTCTGCAGCATAATCCTTCCTCTAACTTGTTTTGTACAGAAATGCAGATTTCTCTAAGCATTTTTTTCCACCACTTCCCATCAGCCGTTTTCAAATGGACTCTAAGATGCTGAGTCATATTGCTTTCCCACAATAGATATATTTCCTGTACTTCCTTTCCCATAAACAGCTGCATGATCTTGTAGACCTAACTTAATATGAGCTTATTATGACTAGAATAAGAGTGAACGTGAAGATATTTTCCCTCTTCTGTTAAGTCTTATATGAGAAACAGAGCAGGTTCGACTCATCCTGGTCTTCGCCAGCATTTAGCAATCTTTATAATTAATTAGTTTGCAGAGCAGCTCATAATGTGCACACAGAGGAATGTGTTGTTAATTTGTCTTTGTCCCAAGAGAAATGTTGGTGTTCTTTGCTTTTTATTAGGTATTAAAAGTGGTGAGACACTCCAAACAAGATGTGCTGCTCTGGAGATCAAGAAAAAAAGGAGAAATATTGCAACAGGCAAATGCCTGCGTTTGGTGGAGATTTGTGAGTGGTTGTAAACATCAGGGACATTTTCATTAGTTGTGCACCAATCAGTCAGGTGGTGCAACATAGACAAGGTCAGGAAACAGTTCTAGACTCACCTGATCCCTTTATACTGTAGTTGCAAAGCACTCATAGGACCTTGTTGACTGCATGTGCTGTTGTGCAGATGTAGAAGTAGGCAGTGGGATGTTTTTCAGACATCTGTGTTATGGATTTGGTTCTGTTTAAGTTCTATCTTTTATTTCAGTTTGTTATTCTAGTTATTTTTGATTGTATTTGAGTTCTTGGGTATTTATTCTTTGCCCTCTGTTGCCCTCTTGTCTCAGTCTCCTTTTCTCTAGCTCCTTTCTAGACTCCTCTGTTCACACCTGTTCCCAATCTGTTGATTAGCCTGGCCTTTGTTTCTCTCTCCCATATATGCACCTCCTGCTCAATATCTGTTGCTGGTTTGTTGTCATTTCTTTGGCCCCTTGTTGGGAGTATTCCTGGTTTTCAGTATTTTTGGATTTTGTATGTTTTGTGTATTTTTGCGTCTGTTACCCTTTTTAATTATTAAATCTGCAAGTAGCCACCTTCAGCTTTGTCTGCATTTGGTCCTGTCAAACCTCCACCCAACTTGACAATATGAAGCCACACAGACTCCACCATTAATGTGTTAAATGCCATCCATAAGACACAGCTATGCTTTTAGAAACATGGAGCGTTATGGAGATAATTACAATATTTATAAGCAAAGTTTAACATGAGCCAATGTGAGATTCTCACAGTGTGATTGTTTAGAGTCAAAACACTATGGTTTCACCATATAGAGACATTTTATACATTTCCACTGAGAAATAACTGTTTTAAGTCTGTATAACTTAATAACTCTGTATTTCAGTGCCAATGCATCTATAAGCCTATAGCCAAAATTCCCTGAATCTAGTTTGGGTAGTGAGTTCCAGCCCTGTTCTGTGGATGTGACGTCAAGCACGTCCATGATAAATGAGTCGAAGCCACTGATCTCTATTAATTCACTGGAATGCTGATAGGTCATCACCAGTCGCCATATTAGCCTAGCAGCCGCCATAACATTACGTGCGCTACAGCATAAAACAATAATGATGTTCTCATTTTCAGGGGGCTTAAGACTTTTAAAGTAAAGATAAATTCATCACTTTGACACACACTTGCTGTTTCATAGCATCAACAGATTACTGTCATTTATGGTAAAAAAAATAAGCACATCACATTGCATATTCAGTATTAATCTTAGGAAGTTTATAAATCAAGTAATCTAACATATTATACAAATCTGTCACAACAAAATTCATGTGTTAATGGAGCATAATAATATTGTAGTCAGCTATTAGGAATATTACATATACACACACAAAACTGACTATGTGCCAAAATTGGTAAATTGATGATACATGCAATATACATGTATTTATTACATTGTTATGGTAAATACATTACATTACAGGCATTTTTATGGCGCGACTCCCTGAGAATGGGGAGTGCCAAGATGGCGACTGGTGACTTCAGATTTTTCGGCCTATCAGCAATCCAGTGAATAAATAGAGATCAGTGGTCAAAGCCAGCAAACAATCAAAGCATTCTTTTAAAGAAGATTTTGTGGGTACTCAGAAGTGATCAGCATTCAGTTCAACTCAGACACCAATGGCAACTCCATATTAGGTGAAAAAAGTAAAAAAAAAAAAAAAAACTTTGTCAAGTACAAGCACATGCCATGACAAGCAGAAGGGTGCTGCAGTCCTGTGTTTTGACCACAAGGGGCAGTATCATTAGAAAATTCTGTCATGCCCTTTTTAAAAAGATAAAGAAAAAAGAAAAAAGTGACAGTTATTTATACTGCTGTTGAAATAATCGTAATATTTGATATTAGATATACAATTAGAAGATGTATTTATTTATATTTAAATTCATAGAGTAAATCTATTTTTTAAGATAAACTGTAGTTCTCATGGCGTTATTAGAAATGAAACTATAAGGCTTGATTAGGAAGGCACTCTTTCTGTGTAAACCGAAACTGGCACTGAACTGTGACCTGCAGTATGCAGCAACACGTTGGGGAGGGACATTGCAGTTGTACTATCTTACCATTGCCTTTTTGCTTCCTGTATAACTTGTATTTGGTTTTCTGCATTATATATTTTCACAATCATGTTACCTTATCACCAAAGTAAATTCCTTGTATGTGTAAAACACTACTTGACAAAACAAATTGTTTCTGACTCAACCAGAAAAAGCTCTGGTCACTTTAAAGGATTTTTAGTTTTTTCTGTTTTGTTTTTGTTTATTCTTTGGTTTGAAGCAGTAGCTATTTAAAACCTTGGGTGTACTTTAATAACAAAAACAGTGACTAATTGCTGCCATGACAGAACTAGAGTCTAGATGACGCTTAAAGAAGTATGAAAACTCTCAATGGAGTCCTTTAGCATTCCAATAGTAAAGTTGTAAAAGACATACTGTAGATTTAAAAGAAGGAAATGGTACAGGATATCGTTCATGGTACAAATATAATTACATGTATGCTAATTGATATGGCCTATATAGCAGACCATTTGCCCTTGCAGACAGTCTGCACTTAACTGTTTAACCAACATGTTGTTTATAGCCTATGAACTGTAGCTTTCAAAAAGCACTATTTTGATTAACTTTCTGCTCTTTTGGTTTCCCTTATATGATTTCACTGTTCTCATGAGCAGGATTTAGCTGCATTTGTATTTCCTCTAAATGGGAAAGTTGAGTAGCCTTTTCTTTTGCTAGATAAACAACAACATGCAATAACAACTGTAGGGGACGGCAGTGATATGTTACTCTAGGCTACAGCCTGAGGACAAAGCTTCAAACAGGAACATCGCCAGAAAATATGAAGTATAAAAATATGACAGAAACAAAGAATTTGTAAATGTTGAGGAAGAAAAATAAAAAAAAAGAAAACTGAAAAATGTTACTTTTTGTAAATCATAATTATTATACATTATACTAAAAACTATATTAAACTAAAATCGATCTCTGCTGATTACTAATAAAATGGTAAATAAAACATTGTTTCTTTCAGGGCATGAAGAGATGAAGAAGGTCTGAAGATGTATATTTTGAAACTTTCAATAAAAAAATGGCTTATCCAAATAATTTTTTGGACTGAAAACATTTCAAGCAATTTTTCTTTTGAATTAGTATCATACTAGTGTGGTACTAGGGTGGTATGATAAGAGTTTAAAACAGACGTTGATAATTCAACCGACTATTGTTTCCACACCCAGCCACTGCGGTAACATTACCTGGATTCTTATTAAACTGGACATGCCAAAGTAAGAGTGCATGAGATCTGTTGGGGTAGAAATGGGACAAGCGTATGTAAAACTAAAGGAGGAAGGAAGTTCTTGCAGGTCAGGAAGTGTTCTGTGGTTGCTTGTCTAAAACCACAACAGTTCTATGACTTTTCTAAACTTCTCTAAATTCTCCTTTCAGGTTCCTCTTCCCTTTGCCTTTCCTCTTAGGCTACGACTGCAGTTTCTTTTGTTATATTTGCAAACTTTTAGGCATTTGTATTTTGCTTTCCTCATCATCCTATTCTTTATTTACATTATTTGTTCTATTTATTTCTCTTTTCCTGCAGGATTATCGGGAGGATGGTATGGACCTGGGGAGTGATGCATCCAGTCGCTCCAGCTCAGAGTCCAACTCCAACAAGGTTACACCTTGCTCTCCTTCTCTTGATCTCGGAAATCTGGAGGACTACAAATCCTCCCCCTCTCCAGATCTGGGCACTCTAGATGACTATGAGGAGGATGAGGACTACCAGGAGTACAAAAAGAAGGTGATAGAGGAGTGGGAAAGCGAATATGGAGAGGACGACACGTCTCCACAGCCTCCTGGTCAGGAAGAAAGCACACAGGGTGTAGTGAGCGGTAGTGGCCTTGAAGAAGGCTACAGGAAGGTGGTGAATGCTCGCAGTCTTGCAGAGGAATTTCAGGATGTAAAGACCATCCCTCCCCTACCGGCCCCAGGAGGACGGAGCACAGCTTCTGTGCCAGCTGTCCCACAAGAACTGAAACAGAACGGGAATCTGATTTTGCCCCAGAGTAACCAGCTCCACTCCTCTAACCTGGCCGAGGGAGGAACAGACACTTCCAAAACAAGCCACCGCACCCCAAGTCAGGGCAGGGGGAGCCGCAGCAGTGTCCGGGGTGGTGGAGGAGGAGGAAGTGGAGGAACTGGTGCTCTGATGCGGGGGTACAGAGAGGAAGAGGAAAGGGAAGAGGAGGAACCCCTGCCCACAATGGATTGGGCAGCCCTGGAGCGGCACCTGGCTGGTCTGCAGTGCAGAGAGCAAGAGAACCAAAACCTAAACCACAACCAGAACCACAACATGGGCAAGACCAACTACACCTCGGTGAGTGTGCTAAAGTTTATAGGTCGTTATTGAAACTCTGAGCTGAGCTTCTCTGCTATACATATCAAAGGTCATCGGCAGCTAATTCAGCAATCTTCCATGTCAGATTAACCCTGCATACACAAGGTTAGGTCACTTCAAGTAAAGAAGAAGGAGGCCAATGTAGTGTCAAGCTCTGTGACCCATGTATATATTACCATGATGATCAGGATAGTGTAACAGAGCTGGGAGTCAGTGGAAGTAGTTTATAGCTTATGGCGATCTTACCCCTGAGTGTGGTTTTTGACCTTCTAGAACTAATGTATAACCCAATTTTCTGGAGATGTGTTCTTTGCTGTTGCCATGTGATTCTTCCACCAGAAGATGTCAGTGTTGCATAGCTGCAGGCTTGTTAATACATCCCCAGCAGCTCCAGCATTAAAGCTGGATATTTACTACCATGGCAGATTTTAGTCATAACTCTGACACACACCCATCGTTTAACTGTTTGTCTGAGAGTCTAAAGGAGTGCATCCAAATGTGCAGGGAGGAGTAGGGGAAAATTGTTCACTGCAGAGGGAGTTTTGAGAACCAACACTGGGTAAATGTTTGCTTGAAAAAAGCCAGAAAGATGTTTTCCCCTCACCTTCCCCTCCATTGATATGCGAGTAACTAAGACCTTTTCCTCAGTGCACACACACAATGGCCGTGACCCGTGCTATTGTGGCTGTTGTGTGTGTTTAGTTTGTCTGTCCCAAAGGAACCCCCATCCCACCCCCCTGCCTCTGTCTCCTTGAGGCATGTAAGGAATGCAGTGGGAGATGGGGGGGTATAAGAAAGGAAGAAGGGAGGAAAGGACGGGAACGAAGGGGGGGGGAGTTCAGGGCCTCATGGCTCGTGTGTTTCTGTCAGTGCTCATTACCTGCTGTCCGTCCTAAACATGAAGATCAACCCCCACTGTGGTTTAGATGGGGGCAGTGTGCCCACCCTCACCCACTCCCCTCCTTTCCTTTAGGCAGTGGGATGTGACCTGGGTGGAAGAGCATTAAGAATATGCAGCAGATCACACACCAGAAGAAGGCATGTTGGGATTACTGTGGTAGATTTAGAGAGAGAGTATTGATAATGATTTTGGGATGAAGATGTTCACCATGTCATCATCACACATGATAGGTGAATCCTATACAAATGCACCAATGAAATGGGAAAGGCTTGCTTTGAGGTATTACCTGTAAAATTCTATTTTAAATTTGTTTTGTTTTTAACAGAAACACTGAAGAAAAACAAAATATGGTGCAGGTTATTTAATATAGGTAGTAGCTTTGAATGTAAAAGAAAAGGAATCACAATCTGTGATTATAAAGCATAGGTCTATGCTACCATTGAATACGTTGTGGGGTGTAGGCAGGGCCATTGTTGTTTTTCTTATCGTCTTTGTTCAATATGTGCTTCTACCATGTTGTTTTTGTTACTCTGTGTGCGTTGTGCTTGGATATACCATAGGAAGCTAAAAGTAAAAGAACACCAAGTGAACACTGAAGATAGGCAGATGGCTTTGTCTTGATGTGTTTGTGTATTTAGCTTCAAGAATAAATAGGTAAGTCATTACCCTCAAACTCTAAACTTAATATTTCAACCAAAATCTCTATATCTCACAGTTAAAAGGGTTTTCAGAAGATACAGCAAAATAATTAAAGATAAATTTGTTTATAAAGGCCAAATGTTAATACAAATAAAATGGTTTTATAGCTCTGGACTGAAAAGGATCCTAACGCTATGTCAACATATGAATTCAAGCTTTCAGGATGAATAACTGCATTTAATTTTTCAAGATGCTAAAAACGAGCAGAAAAGTAGATATGCCCAAAATGCATTTTCTGCAGATTTTTTTTTTTTTCTAGCAGTTATACAGCTCTGCTGATAACTGGACACAGCAGACAAAACAAAACAAAATAGGGAGCTTACGCTTTTAAAACAATGTTAAATATTTTAGATCCATACCCACTCGACCCACCAGTACAAAATTGAGTCTGTTCGTGTACAGACGGGTGTGTCTGTCTGTCAGTAGAGTCCTCTGGGATAGGAACAGTCACGCATCAGAGGATCTTATAGAGCATCAGTGCTTAAGAGAGACACAACACAGCAAAGCTCAAGGCTACTTATCTGCAGTGATCACTGCAGTGACTTGCAAAACCCTCTCAAGCCTTATGACTTCATTTTTAATGTGATTACTAGTAAAGAAAAAATGTGGCGTCCATTTCATCCCGGCTGGGTCAATATTTCATCCACCACAGTTTTAACTCCAAGTTTGTTTTGGGTATGTCTCTCCCCGTGTATCACATCTGGAAACTCCTGTCCACTGTTCTTTATAAAATGCATGATGCTTAGTCTGACTGGATGAACAATATTCTAAAACACTCATTTTAATTTTTGGAGCATATTTCCAGTTTGATGTAGAACTGTACTTTAACTGGGCCACTATAACCTACATGAACATGGCTTTATCCAAGTTCTTGCTATGTGTAAAGTGTTTTCCTGCTGAAAAGTAACACTTCATTCCGGTCTCAAGTATTTTGCAGCCCAGGATAGCTATGTACTTTACTTCGTCCAAATAGTGCCATGTTTCACGATGTGATAGTGTGGTCAGGGAGCTTTGAAATGTTGTATTTTCACAATGCAAAACCTCAAAGGTTTTTGTGTTGTTTTTTTATCTGAGTTTCTTCCACAAGTTTGCTGTATCACCTAGATGTCCTCTAGTAAACTTTAAAAAGGACTTATTAGCACCAGTTGCTTTCTTTAGATTCCAGCCTAGAACTCCTCCAGAGTGACCATTTAGCTATCTGCTGCCTCTCTGTTTATTGCTCTCAACATCCCATCAATTTAAAACAGCTAGGCCTTAGGTTTCCAGTTGTTTCATACTCTTTTCATTTTGTGAAAATGGATTGGTCTCTGAGATTTTCATAAAACTAAACATTGCTGTTATGGCTTTAAACCTCTGCAGTAGCAACAGGTCGTTATTCTTATTTTTTATCCATGAGCCGGTTATGAAAAGCTTCTGTAATCCAGCATTTGTCTTCATCCTATTCAGTTCTGTATAAAGAAAGCAGGTGTGTTTAGTCAGGGTGTGTTTCTCTAGGTAAAGGAAAGTCAGTACATGCCTGCTGACTGTGCATGTGGAGGCACAGTGAGCCACACTTAACAAATTTCCAATGAACTATTGAGACACATGAAAGATGATGTAGACAGTCTGCCTTTTCAGTATGGCTCACCATTTTTAGAAAGGTGTTTATGGTATATTTTTCAAGTGATATACCGCAGAGGTATTAAAACCAATGCCTACAGGCTACTACTTTCTGCATCAGAGTTCACAGGTAGAACGTTTGAACACCCTGTGGGCAGCCTGTGGTTAGAAAGATAGCGTCTCTGCTGAGACCTGCAGCACTACATCTGCCTAGAGAAGAAAACCTCTGTCACTCAGACACGTATTGACTGAACATGCTAGAATCTTTACACCACATGCTATGTAGAGCTCTAAGGAAAATCTGTAGCTTGATGCAAACAGTGATGTTAAGTGATAGACATCAGAAGTGTGATGAAACCAATTTCTATTCTCTTGCAGTATTTTTAGACAGATGATTTTGTACTTCCTCCTGAATTCCTTCTACTGCCCGATAACAACAAGAAGCTTTGTTTAAATGTAATTGTATTCTTCAGTTAAATGCTTACATGTAAAGGTATTGTGGAGGATTTTCGTGAATTTCTTAAAAGACCCGCCCTCTCCACTTTAAAAAACTGCATGTGCGAGAGCATGCACAAGCCCATTTCTCCTAGTGCACACACTCTGTTAAAAAGTTGCTGTTCTCATAGATTATACAAGCTTACTGTGCCCAAACATCAGCCCTAACCCTTAAATCCCTCAATCACTATATAGAGTGGGGACTATATAGTGGACTTTACAGTCAACGTTTTGCTCCGTTGGTCATGTGACTCCTCCTTCACTGCGTGGTGCCAGCGCCATCTATGTTATTGGTCGCCGCTGTCTGGTAGCGACAGCGGGGCGCTGTGACAGCAAATCCCATAATGCTTTGCAAGGAGAGCTCTCCGCACAAAGCATTCTGGGGTATATCTGCCTCTTCTGAGGCCTTTCTTTTCTTATCATACACTTCGTAGACACTTTTTCTCTTAAGACCTTCTGCCATTTTCAAAGAACTGCAACAAGAAAAGTTAGCTTCGTTGACTGTCTGATACTGTTGCATACCAAATATATACACCGGAAAGTGCGCATGCACAGAAAAACATAGCTAACTGGGGACGAGCACGTAGGACGGCCTTACATAAACATATCACCAGAACGATTGACAATTAGGATGACCACTTATTTAGATGATCCACCCGGAAATAAAAGATCATCCTATATACCTTAAAGTCCAACATTTACATCTAAATTATTTTGTTGCTTTGCAATCAACCTTTTTGATTTTTATTCATAGTTCCTTTATTTTATACATTTAACCTATAAAGTCTTCATGATGAGGAAGTGTAACCTTGAATCTAAGTTTTACCAAGTCTTAAAAATTTTTTGGTTTAACTGGATATTTACTACCATTTACTAGCTAGTTTTTTATCTTAACCTTCTCTTAGAAATTTAATCTAAAGTCAGACTGTATTAAGCAATTAATATTAATTATTTATTTTTTCTACATCTTTCATTAAATGAGAATGGCCAAGAGCTAATGACTGATTAATGGAGGATGCATTGATATAAAATACAGGCTGATACTTCATACAACAAAACAATGCAGGTTATGTGCTTAAATACACATCAGCTTAAATGTTGCCGTAAATTATGCATTTCATTTGATTATTTATGGTTTAAAGTCCCTCATTGGTGATGCTTTTACTACCATGCATCATCTGATCTGATTAAGGACAAACTCGGTTTAAGGTTTAACAAGTGATGTAGGGATGACAAATGGTTTGTGAGACTAGCCAGCGGGGATGGAAAATAAAGTACATGTTCT